CCAGAGCCGTGAGATCACAGCAGTGCCCCAGGTCCCGCTGCCTACGAGCTAATGCTCGACCAGGGTCACTGTGGGAGCAGAGAGGAGATACACACTGCAGTCTGAATAGGATTTCTACATGGAGCTTCCCAGGGACAGTGAACAAGGACCTTAAAATCAGCCACAGAATAAGAGTAATTCTGGAGTCATCAGGGTTTTTTATGACTCTTGTTTCTAACATCTTTGCTGAGATAGAGCACACATACCATAAACTTCACCCAAAGTGGTTTCTGGTTACACAGTTCTGTGAATATACTATCGCCACAATCTAATTCTAGAACATTTTTATCACCCTCAAAAGAAACTCCAGACCCCCTAACTGGCACTCCCCAGCCCCTGGCAACACTAATCTTCTATCCCATGGATTTGCCTATTTTGAACATTTCATATAAATACAATATGCAGTGTTCCATGACTGACTTTTTACTGAGGTCTTCAGTCCATATGATATCATGGATCAGTACTTTTTATTACCAAATAATATTCTATTGTATGGATGATACCTCATGTCTGTCTCAAAGATAAGCAGAGAACATAATTCTGGGTTGGTGGCCGGGGTGGGTGGGGGGACACCAAATCAGAGGCTTTCTGGTATCCATCTGAGCCCATGGAATTAACAGAACATCTGAGGAATAAGAGGCAGAGCACATCCTTCAAATCATGCTCACAGGTTTTCCCACATGAACACTTGATCAAACCCGAGGAGGGAGCCCAGTGAGTGGAGCCTAAAAGGCTCCGGTGGCTGAAGCAGAGCTCCAGCAGCCACCAGAGCCACCGGGCGAGGGGCTGAGAGGGGGGATGAGGCAGGGCCTCTGGTTTACTGGGGTTTGCTTTTCTCAAGAAATGAGGTGAGAAAGAGCTGCACGAGGAGCACTGGGATGAGGAGAGGGTGGGGCCCAGGGCCCCCCACATGCCTGGGCTCTCCCTCCAGGGACCCAAGGAGGAGCTGGCAAGCAGGGGTGCTTCTGCCCCAGCCACAGAGGATGACCCCAGGTGAGTTCAGTGCAGAATCCCACCTCCACCTGGGCTTTCCGCAGCTTGGGGGCCACCACCCTGCCCTGCCTCCTCCAGCAGGGACAGCAGATGCCCCAGAGTCCCCACACAGGGGCTCTGCCTGACAGAAGTACATGTGGCAGGGGCTCAATAAAAACTTGGGAACAGGTAAGAGTTAAATGAATAAGGTCTTACAAAGTCACTACAAGGTCTCTTTTACCCCAGAAGTGAGTGAAGAGTTTATGGTGCCCTGGCCCTGTTCCTACCCCAGGAAGTCAATGGTCACCTCACTCAGCATGCTCAGAGGTCTGTTTTCACTTGTCAGGTCTGCTTAACGCAGAGCTCACCTAAGAGGCTGGGGCCCCCCAAACCCACAGGAGAATAGGGGAATTCTCCTCAGAGTATACAAACTTACAGCAAAGGGGGAAGGAAAAAAATCCCACCAGGATGCCAATTGGGCAGACGGGTGAAACCTATCTGCCACCACCCAAGAGCAGGGCTTTGCTGGTCCTGCTGCCTAGGACCACCAGCTGCCCAGAATGCTTTGGGGAAGCGGTCCACCAGTCAGTCACCCATCGTGCCCCTCAGGATGGGTGTGTGAATTCTGGAATGGCAGCCACCACTGACACTTCTGTGGACAGAGAAAAGACTTCTCCCACGCTGGGGCCCTCAGGGAAGCCTGGCTGAATGACGCGAAGCCCAGAGCTGAGCCCAGGGCCCAGCTGGTCTGGCTCCTGGCAGAGAGCAGCTACAGAAAGGCAGCTTGCGGTGGGCGGCTGCGGAGGAGACAAAGCGACTTGGTGACACCTCCCCTCTCAAGGTCCACTGTGGTGTGGGTGATTGCTTCTAAAGTGACTATATAAGCCATAAAAGATTAATATTTATCGAAACAACTTCATTTTTCCCTTTACTAAACTTAGGCCACTTCTCAGGCCCAAATCCCCACCAGGCTACTGGCCATTAATTTTCTCTCCCAGAAATAACATACCCTTTGTTCACCTGGCATCCAGCTCCTAATCATCTGTTCGCAAGACACTCCAGAACATTAAATTCCCAGAGGTGGTGACTTCTCTCCATTTATAAAGAAAAGTCTTGGCCACTAAGGTACCATATCCAAGGATTTCTTTATCATTGACAATGTTTACAGAATTTCACACTCAAAATGTAAATTTCCTCCTCAGGACTGTACAGATCCATCTCCAAGTAGAATATGATTTACACAAACAAAACCCCACAAAAAAACAGAGTTGTGCCAGAGAGGTGCAGGGAGGCCGGAGGCTCCAGGCGGCTGTGCTCAGGACCCAGGTCTTCCGAGCAGAAGCGCAACAAGGGCCCAGGCGGCAATGACGCCACACACCCTGCAAGACAAGCATGCAGGTTGGCCAGGTGGCCGCGCGGGCCGGAAAGCAGACATACAGGCTTGCTCTCCTTCCCCGCACCACAGACATTATTTTCCTTCATCCCCCTCCCAGCAAGAACTTCTGCCTCTCGGTCAGAATAGCTCAGAGGCAAGTGCAGACAAGCCATTTTTCCTAGTGATTCACACCAGAGGTTGACAGAAGGAAACCGGGCTGTCTGGAAGCCGACCCCTTCCCTCCTTCAGTGCTGCTTTCCAGACACCGCTCCTAACCAGAGCGCTGGAATCCTCACGAAGCAGCCCCACCTTCCCAATTGCTCGGGCCCCAGAGCCTGGACTTGGTCCGCCCTGCTCCAAGTCTGCGGGGTACCCACTCTGCCACCACACCACCCAAGCCACAGCTGGACGCTGGGAGCAGGTGGCCCTGGCTTCCCGGCTGCCTCCCCTGCCCTTCCGTCCCCATGTCTGTCTGCGCACACAGACCCATGTGTCACTATGCTGAAAACCTAAGGGCTGGGGGATCCTCCCCAGTCCTTACCCACCACCCTCCACTGGATGGGGAACCACTTATTTCTCTGCCACCTTCCCAGTGCATTCTTCCCCCTCACAAGGGCCTCCTCCCAGCCCCTTGGCGCCATGCACCTCCCACTTGGGGGCCTCTGCCCTGCCGCCCCGTGGGCTGGTGCGGCCTGACCAGTAGCCTGCTCACTCCCTCGCCTCCCCAGAGGCCTTAAGGAGCCCCTTTCCTTCTCTTTACCCAACACTCTCCCCTCCTCCCACCTCCACTGCTCCTACCTCCTGACCTGCTCCTGTTTTTAATAAACACTGGTCACCTACTAGACTATGCAGTTTGCCAGGGGGTGGGCACCCTGAGAGGGGGGATTTTAGTTTTACTCACTGATGGAGCTCAGAACCCACAACAGCGCCCCATACAGCAGAGGCTCAGTCAGCGTGTGTGAACAGTCTGGTCGCTACACTTGTCAACAACGCCTTTACGACATACCAGCTGGTGAGTCGGGCTCAGCTCAGACCAGTGGGACCATAGGGCCGCCTGCAGGGCAGCTTGGCCCTGGCCACTTACTGCAACAGGCAGTTGATGTTCGGGGAGTGCCGCCAGTACCGATACAGGGACACCTGCAGGGTGGGGTGGCCCCTGTACTCCTTCAGGATGCTCCGAGCACTGCCAAGAGAGGTTTCTCAGGTCAGGCATGCAAGCGTCAGGCCTACTGCTCCAAAGTAGGCTCAAGGAGGCTGGGGAGAGATGGGATGTCCAGGGGAAGAGGACAAGCTTAGCGCCAAGGTACCTACTCTTTAAACTTATTGGTCAAGAGCAGGAACTGGCTCTGCGTGAGCCGCTGGACGTCGAACTTACAGAGATTCTGAAACTCACGGTAGACTTGCTCCTCGCTGACCCCAGGCCACTTCCTGGCACTGAGGATGAGGATAGGGGGTCTGGTACTGGGATAATCTGGGCCAGAAAAATTCTAGAAGACAGGGAAAAGAACAGGGATTTTCCACAGTTCCTACTGACAACCCACCCTGCTGAAAATCCTGAGAGAAATCAGGAAAGGCTCTCTGAGGTTGAGAGGGGTGGGAGGGGGGAAGAGTGGGTAGGAAAAGGGAGGAGGGGGTGGGAAAAGGGAGGAGGGGGTGGGAGAGGGGAGGAGGGGGTGGGAGAGGGGAGGAAGGGGTGGGAGAGGGGAGGAAGGGGTGGGAGAGGGGAGGAGGGGGTAAGCCTGCAGTGCTTTGTGTCCGAGACACAAGGCAAAGGACAAGCAGGCCAGCAGCTTGAGCACCTCCTCGCCTTTGATTTGGGTTATTACCTGGCTTTCAAGACCCCCTGGAGAACTGAGCCCCTTCCCAGCACAAGCCCCTGGATAGGGGAGAGGAGCGAAATGAAGGCTACTCACAATCTTAGGGACCCTGGCTCGGATAAGGTTGACCTGGTTCACATAGGGAGCCAGCATGTCGAAGTACAGAGGGAAGGAGAGCTCAGGTGTGGCCCCAGTGCTACACGGACAGAGAAAACACGAGGTGCTAGACCAGTGATGCCACAGCCCTGCGGCAGCTGAGGGGCCGCCAAGAGAATGGGAAGGTGCCGCCTCAGGCAACACCCCCTCGTCCCCTCACGAGTCTCGGGGCTTACGTTGGTGTGTTTCCACACTGACCAGTCTCCAAGAGCTCTCTCAACGGCCTGAGCCAAAGCAGAGCTTCCGGGTGGTCACCACCCGCTGATGACACTTTGAAGAGCCCTCTGCTGACAAGCATTAGCAACAAGCGCCATTAGGGAGAGGCCACTGGTCAGAGGGATCCCCTTTGTCAACACCTGACAGGACATCACCCTGGGCCCCAATGGCCACGCCCCCCCCCATTTCTCCCTCAGCTTCTACTACCAGCCCCCCTCCACCCAGACCCACCCGTACCTGGGCACGGCCTGTGCAGGAGCACAAGCCTTGGGGCCAGGCAGGCCTGGGCTGCTAGGGGACTTCTAAGCCTGGGAGGATTTTTAGGTCATGAGGATTGAGAAATAAAGGCTGTAGGGCCCCGGTGCCAGGGCACTAAGGGGCTCCTCCAACGTGAGCTGCCCTCACTGCCCCACAAGGTGGCTCCTAGGGGGCTGAGACGCTGTCGCACCACAGGAAATGGGGACAAGGTGGCAGATGCCTCGTGCAAGTCCCAAGCCTCACATTAATGTCAGACTATTTCTACAGTGCTCATTATCAAATGGACAAATTGAATAGCACCCAGTAACAGATGACAGCCCCAAAGCACCTCCAAGTCAGTCGCAGAGAACCTGTTAGTTGTGACGAGCTCCCTCACCTGGCCTGCTAAATCCTCATTAACCAAACATACACACCAAGGATGACGCTACAGGACATGTGCCTCAGGCATGCAGGGCGCCTACGAGCCGAGGCTGTAGACATCAGGGAGGGGTGCTGGGGCAAGATACGGTCAGGACTCCAAATTGGGGTTTTAGGAATCTCCTCTGTGCCCGATTTCAAGTCAGTAACCTTCTCCCTTGCCTGGCTGTGTGGACCCCAGGATGCATCACGTATTGACCTGAACACCATCCTACTTTGCTGTGATTTACATGGTCATGAGAAAACCGGCGGCCAATGAAGCTGGGAAGGACTGAGGCGGGAGTCCAATCCGAGGCCCTGGCCTCCTGACAGGTGAGTGTTCCCAGTGCTAAGGCAGGGACTGAATTTCCACAGCTACGGTCTGCATCCCCCCTTTTTGGGAGGCCTTGGTTTACAGGGAGGGTGCTATTCCTGACCACACTGAAGGAAAAGCAGGATGACAGGAAGCACAACTCACCCGTGCACTCTCCACAGCAGCAGGTGTGCTACCTTCAAAAGAACTGGGGGGAAAAAGCTCGAAGTGGAACAGGTGTCAAGGCTCAGCCTGATCACCTTACAAGATGTGTCAACTCATGCTTTATTTCCATTATGTGCAACCCACCTGCAAATAGACAGTCTCGAGTGGTGGCGGTTAGCACAATTACAACATGAGGCTCCTGCTAAAGGGGCCACAGCTCTCACCTGATCCGCAGAGGAAGGCATCGTAGGCTGCTTCGTGTGGGTACTTTGTCTCAACTGAAGCAGTGTTCCGGAAGCAGGAGAGTCAGGCAGCAGTTAGAACAGGCCTGAAAAGGAGTTCCTCCCCCACCCAGCCCCACCACCGCATGGGCTGTGCAGGACCAGCACCCACGGGAGGAGCAAGTGGACGGCCTGGACCTCCAAGGCCTCTGGGACTGCTCCTCTCCAGGGAGGAAGTTCTGGGGCCTGGCACC